CTGATTCATACTTTCCATGTAGAATGTGAAAAGTAAAAGTCTGTGTCCTGACCTGCATCTGATCCCTTCTTGGCAGAACTCTTGCTGGGGCTGGCAGTGGCACTGCCCTGGTCCACTCCGTCTTTACCTTTGGGCTTCCTCTTAATGGGGCTCAGGGAGGGGGCATTAGGCAGGGAGGGCAGGGCCGTCTGGATGGGCACAGAAAAAATTCCAATTATACTTAACAAATATGGGTAACAGCTATGTGTTAGATATCAACTTCATCAAGAAAGTAAAAACAGAAAGTATTCTAAAATACTATTATAGCTATGTAACCTTTGACTAATCTTCTTATGCCATTTGTGTGGCCGTGGCAAGGTGTCTCTTTACAATAAGTAGAGACTTGGCTTAAACACAACCAGAAAGGAAAATAGTAGACTGCTTGGTCGGGGCATAATGTGTAATACAAGCAGTACGCCTGACAGGGGAGAATGGCCATTCTTTGCTTCATATGCTAACACTATAAAGATGTTGGATAAGTAGAAAACTAGATGCTGACAGATTCTGTACCTTTGCAGGTGGGCCAGGTGTGACCTGCTCGATGACATGTGAGCAGACGTTGACAACCCTGGCCAGGTGAGACAGCAGCTGCTGAGCCAGCGGCACCAGGTTCCTGTCCTGAAGGGCGTGCCATCCCTCCTCCTCCTCCTTCCCTCCTTCCTTTGCTCCATCCTTCCCAGAGGGTTTTTCCTCTTCGTATGGAGCTTTTAGGGATCTGGATGCTGCACCTAGAAAGGGGTTTATACACATATGCTTAGCAGGTGAGAGATGGTAAAGGTAAAGGTCACATAGGCTTTGAGGCCACAGGGGCAGTGGGTTATTCATCCACTGTATTTAGGGCATGGTATTTGAGATTTTCATTCAAGCACTCATTATACCCATTTTCTTCAAGACAATTGAATCATCATAACCTTGTTTCCATATAAACCAATGACATTCCTGCACCTGCTAGAAGGTTCCCCGCCAGCAGGAGTGCGTCCTGATGGGCGGCCAGGTCCAGCGGTAACCATGACGACAGCAGGAGGGACAGCACCATGGGCAGGGGCCCCCCTCCTGATCCTGTGATGGATTCTTCCATGCTGAGCTGGCTGGAAACACTGCTGATACTACGGTCAAAATAACAACTCAGTGGTTAGAAACAGAAAAAAAACACACAACAAAATACATTGTATTGTCATCTCTTGGTAATGACTGAACACCCCTAAATTACCAATGGTATGTAAATTTTACTTAGATGTGCTAGTTATACTGCTAGTCAAGCTGCTAGCCATATTGCTAGTCATGCTGCTAGTCAAGCAGCACTCCAAGTTGCTAGTCATACTGCTATTTTGTGAATCAGTGACAATGTAAGAAGAAGCTCACCTGGATGTGCTAGTAATACTACTAGTCAAGCTGCTAGTCATGCTGCTAGTCAGACTGCCGTTCAGGCTGCGGGAGCGGCTGCCCGGTCTGGGCAGGTTGGCCCGTCCACTGGAGTCCTTGGGTGTGAAGGTGGTGATGCCCACACAGCACCAGGCCGTGGTGTACTGGCACACAGGGAACTCCACAGACAACTGGCACAGCGCATGGAGGCACCCGAACTGGGGACATTAACACACAGGCAGATGTTTGGAAGCTCTTTTTGTAACATAAAGCTAATTCTGCTTAACCTTCATTCTACTGCCTAACCCCAGAACCAATAAATATTTGGTAAATGCGACTTAAGTTCTATAAACCTAGCAGCATTTCAGCAACTTGTGCATTCAGGCAATCCTCAATGATAAGTGACCAGCAGGCTGACTTGAGTATTTTGTGAATAAACAATACCTCAAACAAAAAGACAAACTCACTGTCAGACTTTTGGAAGTGGAGCTGTTGAGTCTCCTCATGATGGCTGAGATGACCCTGGAGAGACTAGATTCCAGGCTGGCGCTGACCAGTCCGGACGTCTCGTACCCCCACATGGTGCAGGGGGGAGGGCGGTACGGCTCTTCTCCCAGCTGCTGGCCCTCCTGGTCCAGGTGGGCAGAACTGTACACTTTGGCCGAAGCAACAACAGGATCGTGCTGGGGGTGGTCCACTGGATAAAACAGCCTAGGTACAAGCCTGAAGGATAGAGATATCACAAGTAAAATAAAACAATACTGTAATATTAAAAAACTTGATGATAGCAGTTGAAATTCTGTGGCCTTGCAGGGCTCCAAATTAACTTTTTGACCTAGGAGCACTGTGCTCCTAACCATAAAAAGTTAGGAGCACAGGCTAAAATCTAGGCGCACCAACAAAAAATATTGTATTGCAAAGGTGTTAATATATTAAAAACTAAGCTAGATCATATTTCCTTAAACAACCCCCCCCCCCAAAAAAAAGAAATCACATATTAATACAGCTGAATAAATAAAAATGTGATTATGTCAACAAATTCCTCCTCAAAACAGTTTTCTGAGGGACACTCGGTGGGCATGATCATGATCTCTAAGATCTCCATAATTCAAATGTAAAGTGCTAGTACAGTAGTTCATAGCCAGGGTTCTAGCTAGGATTTAATTTTAGCGTAGTGGTACTTTGCCGCACGTTGAGGGAGCGAAGTCGACCGACGAGGGGGGATGGGCGCTTTTAAAAATTTAAGCTTAAAAAGCGGCCATTTGAGGGATACCCAAAGGGAAAAATGTCATTATTTTCTAAGGTATGTACAATGTATCCTTGATTAGTAATTTTTATATCTTTGCAGCTTGAAATCTTCACAAAATACAGAAGATAATCCAAATCAGACACAACCATTTAAGAACAGACTCTGAGCATCTGGTGTGCAAAGTTGCAATACTCTACATGCAAAAAATAGCAACTATAAATAAAACAAAAAATACGTCTGTTTTGCCTACTAATAGCGTCTGACTATGAGGCACTCTTAATCTCCTTTGTGCCATTTCTGTTCTGCAAAACTGGGCCGAAGTATGATGTGACTCTACACGTGGCTTTGTTGTTATTGCCAAGCTTTTGATTGCTGACATTGATTACAGGCACACCCAGTATGTTGACATAGATCGCACAGTAGCTAAGAGCATGAAATCGGCATGGCACCAGCACTGACGCATATGTGGGGGGAAAACCCACGTGTCACAAAGGTCACAGACACGGTAAAGAAAAACAGCAAAAATTTGACAAAAGAGCAAATAATTTATAGTTACTTGTTTAAACTATGAACGCATCCATTGGGTGAACTCCCTTGTTCATAGACAATTTTCATAGACACTGGATACCGAGCTAATAGTAAGTTACCAACGCAAATTTGCCGCTTTGGGCTTTAGAGGCCCCTCCTCTTTTCGGGAGCCGGCTACATCGTGGGAATTGTTAAATAGGCCAGCCCATATATGGTGTCCCAAAGGGGGCGGGACATCTCTTGCCTGGACTCGCCCAGACACTCTGGCACCAGTGTCTAGCCGCTGTCACTCACAGCAGGGTGGCAACAAGGTTGCAAAGAGCCAAGAGGACCCGCCCACGTTCTCCTGGGAGGCCCGGCACATGCGTTACTGCGCTAAAAAAACATTTTTCACATTTGATCTGGCATTCTTAAACAAAGAAATACAGTCACAATGCCGCTACGTTGTAGTGAAAATTAGCGGGGGAAAATTGGCGTAGCTGGTTCTGCTATTATCTACAATGTAGGCTAAAATTTTTATTGGCGCACCGTGCGACCGTGATTTCAAATGTAGTCGCACCGTCAAAATTTTGGGCGCATATGCGACCAAATCAGTCGCAGTCACGAGCCCTGCCTTGTGTTTAGGGTAGTTGTCACAGGGTCATGCGTTAGATTCCCTAGCAAGCCCCAGGGTTGTGATCTGAGCAAACTGGAAGTAGAATAGGATGGATTCTGGACTTCTCCCAACCCAGCACAAACCTTGGTGGGGAGTGGTTTGCAGCAAAGCAAAGACATGGGAAGGTCCTGAATGTGTGAGAAGGCTGCTTACTAGTAATGCTTATAGTATACAAATAAAACGACAGAAAGTCTCCCTACCTGACGAGAGCTGATGTGGCAGCATGTCTGACCCTGTAGTCATCGTCCCCCATCAGGTGTAACACTATGTCCTCTAACAGTCTCTGCTGACAGTTCATCGCCTGAGACAGGAACATGGTCATCATTGTAGTTGTTCTAAACTTTATGTTTTAAACATAAGGTACACAGTTTTAAATGCACAAAAGTGCATACATACCCAGCATTTCCAGCCTTGAAAATAACCATGGTACTACAGTACCAATAAGCCCTTTACCTGTAAATATGCCCTCCTCCATGTATAGCTCTTTATCTCCAACATAATGTAAGTTACAATGTAGCACACAAATGACTCACCCCAAGATAACTGTGTTCTCCTTTCCTCATGAATGGGAAACTGTCCTCTAGATACTTGACTAATCTGAAAGGAAAATTTTTAAAAACCATGTAGAAACTTGTAAGCATTCCATAACAGCAACAGGTTGCATGTGGAACGGTGATTTACCATATGTGTACTGCACTACTGCACTACAGTGGTGAAGTGTTATAATTCTAGGACATGTTTAGATAAAAACCAATTCAACATTCCATGAATTCGACAGATTTTATGACTGTAGAACTCACTTGAAGTCTACTAGTGACAGCAACTCCAACAGCTCCACTTTACCCAACCAGTAGGACGTGTCTCTCTGTCCCAGGGTAGCCAGGACAAGTCTCAGTCCCAGGTCTCCAGAGGAACTTTGTAGCAATGTCACCAGACATGTCTGCAGAACACACAAAAATAGTCAAATGTACTTGATAAGAGTTCACAACAGAGCTTATCAAGTTCCTAAAGTAATGCAACTTCATCTTTTTACTTGTAGCTTGTGTTTCTCTGCAGTTCCTAGTACACAATATAACATTGTTTTACATGTATATGATATCCTCGGTGCTGCTATTTCAGTATAGGTGAGAGGGTGAAGTCTGCCATTCCTACCTTGAGCGCCACACAGGCCATCCTGCAGGTGACAGAAGCCTGGTCAGTCAGACATGCCTGGAGACGGGACACCAGAGACTCCAGCTGCAGGGCTGGTGTGCCCTGCTCCTCACAGATGGCCTGGATCCACAGGTCATACTTCAGCCTGAAATCACAGTAATCACACATGACAGATAGCCTGGATCCACAGTAATCACATCAATAATTTTGCTGCTTTGCTGCCTTCATCAGGACGATGCTCTTACTTCTTATCGTATTGTGACATGACTACACATGTATCACAAAAAGGATGCCTTCTCAACCGTGCCTCAA